CCTTTTTGACTGTTCCCATCTTGCGTCTTTACAAGCGAAGTGTTGGTTCTATTGGCGTGGACACAAGGATTAGCCATGCACATGGTACTTCACACACCGGCAACGTCGCCCGCGACAAAATTCAACGAGTCTATTCAGAGCGACTTCGGAGCGGCTGGTCAGAACTGATGAAAGATGGTTTGTGCTCACCCATCTTGTTGTCCACCGCAACCCACACTGTATGAGATGTGCATCATTCGGACAACGTACGGGTCGCCCGCGAATGTGAGAACGATTGACGCATCGGCAGGATGTATCACAACAAAAGTTCGAGTCGAGGGAGACAGATCTGTGAGACCCAACATGGAAGCCTCTAGACTGCATCAGTCTAGAAACAAGGCGGACCGAGCTCCCAAAGGTTTATGCAGTTAACCAGTATTCCCATACGTCCACGGGAGTAGCCCGCCTTGTTTGGGAGAACGAAGGAACAGGACGCAACGGAGCGTTCATGGTTTTCAGGCTCCGCCGATGGCATCAGCGCGCCCTACTGCCAAACGTGGCAGGTGCCCGCCGCAACGCTTGCGATTCGTGAGCGTCTGTTGTATCTTCCCGTTCCCGCCGTCTGGGCTTGCAGGCAGCCTTTGCTCTTCATACATACTGGGTCCCTCAGCCTTGTGTGACCAACCTTCACCTCCTTTAAATTGACTTGCTATCAATACCAGCTAGCCACGAGCAGAATCTCGTCATGCACGGCCCTCTGCTGGTCTGAATGCCTTGGATTCTGATACCACTGAGGCTATTCACAACTGAGCACAAACTGAGAACGGAGGCAAGTGCAAAACAGAAGGAATTTGCCTCCGAATTACTTGTACGGACAACAATATGACATCACCCGTAGACAATTGCGTCCAACCTATACGTTGCATCTACACTAAAAGTACACTCATCACACCTCGCTCTGGAAACCCGACGTTCTATAGGTGTTGCTGTCTGCCAATAAGTTCTCTGATAATGGCACATCAGTATCCAGCGGACTGTACACAAACCGTGTGTGCTTGCACTCACCAGCCACGATTAAAACCAAGTCTCTCTATTGCGTTCACTTCTGGTGCACCCGCGCCGAAGCCTGCGGCCAGACTAGGGAGCTCATATCGTGGTACAGCATTACGTGACAATATCAGTGTGGCGTCTGTCCGGCGCTCTGGTTCCACGGGGATCGGAGAAGCGAACGCGACCTGCAGCTGTGCGAAGAAGCTCATCACAGCCGCGAAAAGGAGGTAGCGGGACATGTTAAATATCTAGGCTGTCCGGTGAGAAGGATATCAGCATCATACGGTGAGCACAGCAGTGGAAAAATGCTGACTGCAATGTGATGTGCGGTGGGTAGGTGTGGAGAGGACCTGCTCTAATTTTCGTCGCTTGGCCAACTACCTCGTATTTGTACGGAGTGGCAAAGGATAGCAGCGGAGGGCTCTGCCCGGCAAATACGCCATGTCACCCAAGACAATGAACAGTTCTTTTTGACTGTTCGCAGCTCGCGTTTTTGCAAAGCAAAGTGTTGATTCTAGACATAGATTCACCATGCACTTCACACACCGGCAATGTCGCCCGCGACGCAGTGTAAGGAAGGCACCCAAGCTGCCTCGTCAGAACGAATGATGAAAGATGGTCCCTGCTCACCCATCTTGTCGTGGCTTTGCATCATCCGGAAAGTGCGCGGGTCGCCCGCAAATGTGGGGACAAGCCACGTACCGGCAGGGTGTGTCATGGCGAGCAGAGCCTCGAGTTAAGGTTGAAGATACGAGATTCAGCTTTGAAACTGTTAGACTGATTCATTCTAATAATAAAGCAACCCAAACTCCCAAAGATGTGTGCAGCGATACACTCTGTCCTCGCCCACGCGAGTCGCCTGCTTTGTTTGAGAGAAGGAAAGAACAAAGGCGCGACTTGCTCCGATCGCAATCTCGACGCGTCGGAGACTGCGCGCCTACTGTACTGTATCTCCCACGTAGACCGCGTCTGCCCTCCATCCACTGTCCCTCTCCGTTTAATTTACTCAGCACTCCTTGAAATGCAGTCGTTATATCAACGGCACGCCGAAATAAATCCCCCTTCGCATTGCGGTCACACAAGCTGAGGAAGCGCGGCACGAGTAAAATAGAAGAGCTTGAACTTTGTCTCACTACGTACGCACAGACGTGACATCAGTCATAGACAACTGCATCCAGCCCTGTACGGTGCACCTACGCTGAAACTACACTCCTCGACACCCCACTACTTCACAGGCGTCGCACATAGCTGATTCTCTGATAATGAGGCATCAGTATTGAAGTACTTGTACACAAACTATGCGTGCTTTCACTCACCAGCCACTATCAAAACCAACCCTCTCGATTTCGTTCAGTTCTGGTGGACCGGCGCCGAACGTTGCGGCGTGCTCAACTACAGGTGGTAATTTAAATGCGGGGTCCGCTATTCCAAAAAGAATCGGAGAGGCGAACGCGGCCTGCAGCCGTGCCAAGAGGCTTATCACGGCACCAATCAGGACGTAGCGGGCCATGTTGGGCATTTCGGCTGCTCTGTGGGCAGCATATCAGCGTTGTGCAGTCATCACGACAATGACTAGGTTCTTACTGCGATGTAATGTGCGGGGGTAGGTGTAGAGAGGACCTGCTCTGTTCTTTTTACTTGCTCAGCCACGCCCCATTTATACGAAGTCGCAAAGAGTAAACGCGGGGGCTCCTCCTTGGGCAACGTGCCGTATCAGCCGAGGACGATGAACAGTCCAGCCTTTGGTCGTTCTCAAGCGTTGTGGCAGATGAACAAGCGGAGGGTTGGTTACTGTACATCGACGTATAAATAGATGCAGTTAGTACCAGCGACGTCGGCCGCAATGAATCCAGTCAGACTGATTCGTTGGAACAAAAGTTAGAAGATGATCTCTACTCATCCATCACAGCAACCCGCAGTGTATGCGATTTGAATCATCCGGAAAATGTACAGGTCGGCCGTGGATGTGCGAACAAATGACGCATCGGAAGGATATGTCACGACGACCAGATGCTCGAGCAGAGCAGATCAGTGAGAGCTAACTTCGAAGCCTATGGACCACCTCAATCCACAAGCAAACTGAGGTCCCGTCAGATGTATGCAGTGCCCGGCTTTGTTGCAAAGATGAGGTCAAAGTGGTCTCGCGAATATAGAATACTAGGGAGGCTCAAAGTTAGAGTAAGCTGGCCCGTAAGCTGAGCTCGTAAGATGAGCTGTAAGACGAACCGATAGGAAACTTCACGCACAACGTTGCTTACACGCCCTGTAAGCTGACATAATGTCACTCAAAAGTCACGCACATTGGCGCCCTTGGCTCTCGCCTCGCTGCGAATTTCTTCCACTTGCGCGCATAACCACCCGTTGAAATGCCAGGCGCATGCAGACTGGGAGAATTCCTATGCCCGGTTCATTGCCATCCGTAATACTATAGTAGCATGCAAGGTATGGTTGTGCTCAGTTGCACGCTTTGCTACTGACATGAGTCACATACCGTCACATCAAGTCACTGGTTACTTGCCATCACGCGCTGCTCGCAAGAAGCTATGTAACTCGTCTTACAGCTCGTCTTACGAGGTCATCTTACGAGCCAGCTTACTTTGACTTTGAGCCTCCCTACTCACGTGAGAATCTCGCTCAAAGAGCGATGCGCATGGCCGGGAACCAAAAGTAATTGTCTGCCAAATGAGCAGTGAGGTTGGATGTACTTATCCTTGGTTGGTGATATACGACTTTGTGCACTGATATTTCAACGACGCTTGGAGAAGCCTTGTAAGTTGATTCCGGTACCATCGAAGAGGTTACTGGGTCTAAGATGACGCCCCTGTACGCTGTACCTACACTAAAACTACACACATACACACCCTACTTCGGAAGCACTAGTTTACAGGCGCCGCCCATCACCATTTGCCGATCCTTGGGAGTGCTACAGTAGTATTAAAGTTAACTGTACACGAAACGTGAGTGCTTGCACTCACCAGCCACGATTAAAGGCCAAATCATCTCAATATTTGATCTTTCCGGTGCACCCGCGCCCATCTGTGCGGATCCTTGGGGTGCTCGGCGCACTAGTTCCACAGGAATCGGAGAGGTGACCACGATCTGTAGATGTGCGAAGGAGCAGATCATAAAAAGGAAGTAGCGGGACACGTTAAACATATTAGCTACTCCGTGAGAAACATATCAGCGTTGTGCAGCCAGCACGACAATGACTAGGTTCTTACTGGGATGTAATGTGTGGGGGTATGTGTGGAGAGGACCTGCTCTGTTCTTCTTGCTTGCTCAGCCACGCCGCATTTATACGAAGTCGCAAAGAATAAACGCGGAGGCTCCTCCCCAGATAACGCGCCGTATCAGCTGGGGACGATGAACAGTCCAGCTTTGGTCGTCGATAGCGTGTTGTGGCAGATGAACAAGCGGAGTGTACTAGCAACGTCGCGTGCAATGAATCCAGTCGGGCTGATTCGTCAGAACAAAGATAGAAGACGGTTTCTACTCACCCATCACCGCAACCCCTAGTGTATGAGACTTGAATCATCCGGAAAATGTACAGACCGGCCGCGAATGTGCGAAACGAACAACCCATCGGAAGGGTGCGTCACGACGACCAGATGCTCGAGCAGAGCAGATCTGTGAGAGCTGCATTGAAGTCTGTAGACTGCCTCAATCCAGCGACGAAGCGAACTGAGGCCCTAAGAGATGTATGCAGTGGCCGGCTTTGTTGCAAAGACGAGGGCGAAGTGCTCCCGCGAGAATCTTGCTCAAGGAGCGAGCAATGAGCACGGCCGAGAACCAAAAGCAATCGGCTATCAAAGGGGGTGGGGGTGGGAGTGAGACGAGCTGTGATACTTAGCCTAATTGGTGCATATAGATGAGTTCGTGTGCTGATGCCCCTTGAACGACGCTTGGAGGGGGCTTGTGGGTTGACCTTATACAAAACTTGAAAGGACCACAGCGTGATGATAGCAAAAGGTCTGCCCCACTGAGGCTCGAACTCAGGACCTTCCGATTGACTATTACGTAACAGTCGGACGCTTTGACCAACTTAGCCATGGGGCACATATAGGTTTTGACTCCGTTGGTGATATAGCGCATTGGTCAGTAAGCACCATATCGTGGCAACTTTTACACCGCGATTAGCTTTCGTGAACAACATCGCTGAACAAATGAGTGAACAGATAATTCTCGTGCCAATCACCAGCGCATCGGTCTTATAATAAAGCACTATAGAGCTTTATACAGGAGCATACTGTATCGAGGTAAGTGTCGTTGGTTACACATTTCCCGATACTTACGGCATATGTATGGCTCATTTGTGTGCATTCGTATGGCTCATTAGGATGACTCAGCAACAACTGTCGCCTTACAACGCCCTGATGTTGAATTTGACCAGCTGTGTTGACACATATCCGAGGGATTAGCGTGCAGAGGTGGATGAGTTGACTAGATTTCGCCAGTACGTTTGGCATTTCATGTGAAAGTTTGTCAGAGACGCTTACGTCTGTTTTAGATGCTTAATTGACAAACTCGTTCGGCCACTGTATCAGTCGCGTCTACGTGAGCATATAATGTGCTCGAACTCGATAGGATGAGGGTCATATCTTCCCCACTTCCATCTCACCACCAATTCCTCCTCGCAGCCACGTCATGTCTCAGAAGAAACTCGACGAAAAGAAGAAGAACATTGTCGTCGTCGGCGGTGGCTTCGCAGGCATAGCAGCGGTCAAAGAGCTCGCGACCAAGGTTGACCACGCCAAGTACAATGTGGTCCTCGTTACCCCCAGGCCATACAACGTCCATCTCCTTGCTCTCATACGCATGACCGTCTCGGACATTGACGACCTAGGGAACCAAGCCTTGATTCCGTACGACAGACTCCAAGGGGTCTTCCACCAGATCGCCACTGTGACCTCTATCGAGGAGACCGCACCGGGTGAGGGAGGCAATGTCGTTTTCGCAACCGGCGAACGGCTTTCGTACGCCGCTCTCCTACTCGCTACGGGCGCCATCTGGTCGGGGCCGCTGGCCATCGGGGACTCTGACAAGGAGATCCGTCAACACCTGAAGGAGTGGCAGTCGCGATTTGCAAGTGCACGACACGTCGTCATTGGCGGTGGAGGGGCCGTCGGTATTGGTATGTCACCACGACTTTGCTCTAGCTTTATACCTTTACTGAATACGCTGTGTCAATGTAGAAACCGTAGGAGAGATAAAGGACGTGTACCCCGACACGAAAGTCACACTCGTACACTCGCAGTCGCAGCTCGTGAGCGAAATATATCCGGACAAGTTCCGCCGCAAGCTCGATGCCGCCGTGCGCGGCCGTGGCGCGGAGATTATATACAGTGACTACATCGACGTCTTCCCCGAGCCCGGCCAAACGGTCGACATCACTACGCGTCGCGGCAAGACGATCAAAGGCGTAGACCTCGTCGTAAGTGCTCCTCCTTTCCTACTTTTTCGTTCGCGGCTTATAAGCCATAGGTCCCCGCGTTCGGTTCGCGCCCGAACACGGCTTTCATATCGTCGCTCGGGTCTGGTGTACTCACGGAGAGCGGTACGGTGAAGGTCAAGCCCACGCTCGAGCTGCTGCACCACAAGGGCATCTGGGCCGCCGGCGACATCATCGAATGGGCTGAGGCGAAGCAGGCAGCGAAAGCACCTAACCACTCTGCTGTTGCCGCCGCGAACATCCTCAGCTTCCTCGGCGGACGGCCGCAGACCAAGGTGTATAAAGGGTCGATGGAGTTGATTGCGGTCCCCGTTGGCAAGGTTAGTACTCACTCGTTCATTCCATTGGCGCTGCAGGGGCTAACATGCTTTCGCAGAAATATGGCGCATCGTATTTCAACGTACTGTGGGGTATCTGCTTCGGAAACTGGCTCACTAGCCTTGCCAAAGGAAAGACGTTAATTGTGCCCAAGGCGAGATCAGATCTCAACTATTGATTCTCTCTCTGCGGATCTGTAGACTTTATACTATTAATTAATGCAGTTATTTCGAGTGGACGATGATACCTGTGTTGTGTAGCACTTTGTGACAGGGTTCCGGTGTCTAGTATCGTACAAATATTCATCTTACTTCTCTATAAATACCGTTGATTTGATTTTGTCTTTTGATCATCCTCGCGAGTTCAGACTACGCGTGACGGCACCATGATCGAAGCGTCTAAGTACACTCTCTTCACCGCATACCACGAACTCGGAAACGCGCTTTGCATACTTCTCGTTAATACAACAGCATTATGCAGGTAGCAAGGCTCTGCACAAGACCACTCCGTACCGCTCCTTTTGCATCTGCAAAAACGCGGTTTGTGGTATCGCGAAACAACTCAACAACCTCGTCTACCCTACCGTGGTTCGTCGACCCATCAGACGTACCGCCCAAGCCACCTACCCCTGGAGTCTCTTCAGAATACCAGCTCTCAACACCAGAAGTGCAACACGAACACTTTCACCAAAACCTCGCTCCCCTCCCGACTGAGATCCCCGCCCATTCGCCCCTCGCCCGCCTGCATGCTAACCTCTCCGCCTCTCCCTTCCTCGAGCCCGGGACCCTGCTCGTGACGCGCCCTGTGCCGACTGACCCTGGCCCGCCGTTACCTGCGTCGGGCCCTAGAGGACGACGGAAACGGGGAAGGACGTATGTCGGCGAGGGAATGGAGGAGGAGGGCATGGGGCTGTGGCAGTGGATGGTGCTCGCGCAGGCACGCTTTTTTCTTTGTGCTCAGTTAAAATATAGCGTGTTGATGCCCTTGTTTGGTAATATAGGTGAAAGAGGGAACGGAGAAGAGAGGTGCTATTGAGTCGGTCGTGCGGCAGGTACGGCAGTCGGTGTGTGCTCATTCTGTCGGTGTTATATCTCTGCATCGTTGACTGTACGTCGTGATTTATCGTTCCAGCTACTGAAAGAAACGCCACCGGTCCTGCTCCCGCCTAGGCGACGTGAAATCAAGGATGGGTGGGCCATGATCGACGCAGGAGACTTCGCTGTGCACATCGTGAGCAAGACTGCCCGCGAGCGGTTCTTCCCGCCTGAGAGGAGAACATGGTCTCTCTCGTATTAGCCCTATGCTCATATGCGCTGCTGGAAGCTGGAAGGTATTTTACAGACTACTCTTATGTAGATATCAATGCATTAATAGGAAGGTGGTCACCCCTCATCGCATGCTTATGACGCTGCTATCATGCCGCCAGAATAGGGAGGCTCAAATTTAGCGTAAGCTGGCTCGTAAGCTAGCCTCGTAAACTGTCTCGCGGTGAGACAGACAGAAATACTTGCTTGAACAAACATCACACTCGACAATCATAGCGTCCACACTTCGGACGTACATGAACGAACAAGAAACGAAGTAGTTACCATAAGTGCAGGAACCGTCGAGCTGTGTCTTTATCATCTTGTTGCAACTTTCTTTACACTCGTGCGTGCAGCTTACAATATTTGTTTAGACAAGGCACGTCCCGATGAACCGATGTATTATACAATATACACTGTTATACAAGCATCCTCTTCTAATGATTTATTGTTTCTCCTTCCCCCAGACCGCCTCGGCGCCAGCCTGTTTGGTAGTCTCGTCGCCCATGGCATGGCCATACGCAAACTTGGCAGCACCGGTGGCGAAATTCGCAGCGGCCGATGCAGCTGAGCCAACCGCGCCTGTGGCGCGCTGGGTGGTGGAGGTGACACCACTGACACTTGTGGATCGAACATTTGCCCAGCCGTCATCTGAGTGTGCGATGCCGAATGAGTATATTATGTCCTCAAATCTTCAATTGCCGGGAGCTACGTACCCTTATTTGAGTTCTCGTTCAGAGGGTCGATATTTGTAGACTCGATGATCCCCGGCCGACCCTCGACGACCCCAGCAGTTTTGCTGAAATTGCGCTGTGCTTGGCGCGCGCCGTCAAAGTTAGGTCCGGCACCAGCACCAGTGTCTTCTGAGGTGGGGTCTGTGACCTGCGATGCGAATAATCGGTGAGTCGCGGTCTCAGTATCTAAGTGATGTGTACTCACAAAGTTCGCCGCCAAGGGATCACTGTTTATAGAGGCTGAAGTTGGGTTGGCGACGCCTGGGTACGCGTCGACACCGCGGGCACCAATGAGAGTACTGTCCTTGTCGTTCATGGTCGTGTGAGTAGTATTCGTAAGGTAAAAGGTTGAGTAGAGGTGGAATTCTGGGATCGCTCGAGAGCTGGACCACGGATATATAACTTATTTCGTTGTGGGAACCAGTGATGAAACAGGAGCCACTTGGTGGGTACCCAATGTGGAGTTTTAGTGCTAGGGGCCACTTGTTTATTCCAACCGAGCCCCAAGCAATCCATACGGCGCTCGTGACGTAGGTGGTGTTATATACACCACCAACGTGCTCACCTGCCATATGCGGAACCGACATCATTTGGCCCTTTGTGGCGTCAAGACTTTTGCGAGGGAGGTGAATATAAGCGCAACTAGTAGGGATGTAAGTTACGTGAAGGTGTGTAATATCTATTCGGAGACAATGTCCTCCTTTCTAGGTTTGCTAGCTTTGATCTCCTTTCCTTGTCCAAGGATAGACTGTGCCTCATCATCGAGAATGGTACCTGTCATCCTATTAGCGGTTGAGTCAAAGAACACTGGTATCTCGACGTACCTAAACCCTCCTCTCTTACCAGCCCAAGGACGTGTTCCAGTTCTACGAAACCGTCTTTGTCTGCGTCGAGCTTCTCGGTGATCTTCGGGACGATCTCCTCATCAGGCTGATGCTTGATCATTGTTAGAGCTTTTTGCAGATCAGCGATGGGAATACGGCCTTGCGGGTCGCAGGAAATCATTTGAAGCGAAGAGCCCACTCGGGCATCGTATGCCTCTAGTTGGGTGTCGATCTTGGTCAACATTGATCGGATGCGTTTCGTGAGTGCACCAGATGGTGACTGTGGATCCTAGAAAGAGTGGGTCAGCACGAAGAGGGAAATCTGATAACTTTAAGGAGGTCTACCTCATCGGCTTGCAAGTTCTCATCCATCAAACCTCGCAGCTCTTGGCGCTCCTTCAGAACGCTGGACTTGGCGGACAGGATT